GAAACTTGTTTGTCTGAAATGATGAGAAAATATCAATTTTTTCTAAGTAAACACAAAACTCTGAAAAAGAATTTTGTAGTTACTGATAAGAACTCTATTAAGAATGAGCAAAACCTTTCTGATTTAAATAAAAAATTATTTGTTTAAAAAAAATCAAATCTTACTTTTAAAAGTGAAGTCTCAAAGTTAGAAAAAGAGAATATATGTAACACATCTATTACTGATGAAGTAATCAGATACGATAGAACTTTTCAGCACTTCCTAATTAAAATCATAGATAGAATATTAAAGTATCGTTCTAAATCTGTACTTTCAATATTTTTAGTTTTTTCTAAAATAATTTTTTTTATACACACTTAATTACTATTAACTTAGTTTTATAGTATATTGAGATATGAATTGTATATTTAAATTAATGGTCTTCAGTTCTCTTGCATAAAGAATATTTTAATGAAATCTATTTATTTTTTCGAATTTTGTTGTAAAGTAGATAAATATATTAAGTCATATTTTTGAGATGACGGAGAATGATAAATACATTTTATTTAATTCATATAATTTTGAAGAAGAAATTGAATTTTATAAACAATCTTTTTAATTTCGTTGATCCACGACTCTACCAAATTTGCTACCTCATGTGATGAGTAAGTAACATGAAAGCATACCGTTTTTTCATCTATAATTATTATCACTTTAGATTTGTTTAAATCAAGATTTAAATAACATAATTTATTTTATTCTAATATAATATGTCAGGAGGTAATGGATGCACCGATGTATATACTTCAAGATTAAATATTATTAATTTATTGATTATGTTTATCAATTATATTTGTCAAAAATAATTTATTTAATATATATTAATCTATATTTGTGCGGTATATATATATATATATATATATATATATATATATATATATATATATATATATATATATATATATATATATATATATATATATATATATATATATATATATATATATATATATATATATATATATATATATATATATATATATATATATATATATATATATATATATATATATATATATATATATATACCTTAAATTTTTTATTCATTTTTAGCATTTTTTTAACTATACTTTAAGCATTATGTTATGAAATTATTTATATCATAAATTTTCCCTCAAATGGATTTCTTAATGGCAAATTAAATTATTTACTAATTAATCATCTATTAGTATTAATTAATTACTTAATTGATCATTAGGAGTTATACTTAATCAATTACATTTCACGTTACATTTAACACATTGATAATTATTTAAATAAAAATGCATTTATATTTCTTTTTTAATGGACAACTCATTTATTTTTTAATTAAACTATTTATTATAAATTATAGCATACCTGTTATTTAAGTTATAAATATTTTCTATAATTTCAATTCAATGTATATTTATTAATTCCATGACAATTAAAATATATCGTCCAACTTTCAATTAAAAAAGTTCATTATAAATTAATTTTAGTATTATATTAATGTATTTATTTATATTAGAAATTTGACTTAAAATTGATTTTCCACTACAGATTTATTTACTTATTAATTAAATTATTTACTGTTAATTATATACTAAAATGACATTTAAGTAAAATTATTTTCTTGATTAGCTATATTTGACTCATGGATAACCATAAAAAAATAAATTCAAAATTTTCTATTCTTTAATTACTAATTTATTTTTAATTAAATGATCTATTATCAACCATAATATAATTGACATTTTAATGTAATTACTATGATTACAATTTAATATATATTTATTAATTTTATGGAGACTAAAAGCAATTCTTTAACTATTTTATATTGTCAAAATTTAACTTTTTAAAATTCCTTTTTAAATAGAAAATATATTTTTATTTTAAATAAAAATATATTTCACAATTTAGTAATTATACAATTTTAATAAAAAAATCTAGACAACTTTTTCTATATTATATTCATGGGTTTATTTATAAATTTTTTCTCTTCATATATATATATATATATATATATATATATATATATATATATATATATATATATATATATATATATATATATATATTACTTTTTCTAATTTATTAATTTTTGTTATAAAAGATAATTTCATTATTACTCATTGTTCCTCCCCAAACCAAGTATATATATGTAATAATTAAATCTCACTGATATTTTATAATAGATTATTTATTAAATAAAAAATACTGGATAAATCATATCTAAAATAATAATAATAATTACATTTTTTAATTTTTAATATTTATTTCTTCTTTATCACAATTTTTTTTTTCAACTCTGCGAATGATTTGCTCAGATATTAATTTAGTTTTCAATAAAACAAATATTATACATTTTATGTTTCTCTAAAATAAGTAACGTAAACGACATGTAAAAAAACAAAATGTACATGTAATGATAGTTGTTTAGTATCTATTTAACGTTTTTTTAGTACCTATTAGGTTTTCAATAAAATAATAATTTAAAAGCTGCATGCTCTGCCTAGGATAGAATCCGTTTAAATTTTTGAATGAAAGACTCAAAATCAACATCATATGTACTTCTAACATAAAAGTGATATTTCTTTTGGAATATAAAAAAATAAAAACAAAAATAATTTCAATTATAATGATAAGGAGAATGTTTATTGTTAAGAAAAATTGAAATAAGAAACGTAAGAATAATTTCAACCACTCATTATGAATACCATTCTCATAATTTCTATTAAAATAAAATTTAAATTTAAAAATTAAAAATTCATTTATAAAATAATGAGATATGTCTATTCTTGTATTTTTTCCCTCTAATTTACTTCATACTAAATAGCACTACTCTAACAATAAAGGTAATTTTAATTTCATAAAATGTATTTAAAAAAATAAAAGTTGAAATGGAAGAAATTGTCAGAAATTGCAGCCAATCATGTCCCTTAAAATATTAACAAATAACAATACATGCAATTTTTTGTGGCAGTTATGTCTTGTTTAAGTTTGGGTCCATGAGGGACTGGAAAAGGTACTGAAATTCAGAAACCAATTTTGTGCTCCAAGTTTTTGTTATAGAAGATGACAACAATGGCTTATAAGTAGCAATCTTTATTTAGACTTTATAAACACACATGAAATGGTCCAAATGAAGCCCCATTGTGTACAATCCATTTTTATATGTCAGTCATAATAGTGACATGTAATCACCTCGAAATTCATTCAATTAAATGTTGTTCCCACTTCTAACATTTTATTTTCTAATGGAGTAGTAATTAAGAGTCAATCATGATTTTTTTTTGTCAACATGCTTTAAATTTATAAATTTATTTTAGAGCTTGCAAATAACATATTATGTAATATTGCCTATACTACAATTCAATTGTTAAGTTGATTCATATTGAGAAGTCATGAATTTATCTTTTATTTTAAATATGAAAATTTTAATAAATTATAAACGTATTTTCTGAGTTTTGAGACCTTCTCTAACTAAGTGTACTATTAAAATTAAAAATAACAATTGGATAAGTCAGCCTTACAAAAGTTTAAAAGATGGGACTGAGTAAAGTGAATATACAATAGAGAATGCGAGGTTAAAATTTTGGTTTTCCCTGCAAAAAATGATAGTAATAGAGGTGTGTATGGTTACCAAATTTTAAGAACCAATCTATTTTAATGATTCTAATTTTAAAATCAAACCATTTTTTATAATAACCAATTTAAAATTGCAAAATAGTTTCAATTTGGTTCAAAATCGATTTAAATCGGTTTTCAATCAAAATTGGTTTATTAGATAATTGTATCTTTCTTAATTTGAAGAGATGAAAAAAATCCAAGTTAATGAAGGGAACAATATACAAAAGCATGTGTCATTTTTATATTATTATATTCAAACCCTAGTACAAACTGTTTATCACATTTTTTTTTAAAAGTAAAAAACTAAAATTCAATTCAAGAGTAAAAATATTACACTTTAATTCATGATAAAATTGCACCAGAACACTAAAATTAGAACCCAAAAAAACTAAAACAAAACATTCTAAAATCAAGACAAAATTTGCTTCAAAACAATTGTTACACCATAACAGTTAAACAAAAACACAGATTAACAATCGTTCATCACAATTAACTTAATAAGTTCTTCATCCCTTAACTAATCACCATTCTAATTAACTAATTAATAATAAATAAAATAAAATATATAAACTGATTTTCCATTTTTAATTTGAATATTATATAAACTGACTTACATGAATTTGAATTTTCCGCGTCTTAATAATACATTATTCATTAATAATAATATCATATACATTTAGTTTTATGTAAGACAACTGATTATGAAAAATGAAAACCAAATTTTTGTTTTGATATCAAAATAGATCTGGAAAAATTTAGATTCAACACAAATTAGATTATAAAAATTAGTGTATTTTGAATTTTTAAAATTGATTCGTGTAAACTAATTTTTTTACCCACCCTAAAGAGCAAAAATATGAAAGTGGACGAAGCAGACATTCGGCCTTCTGCTTCTAAAGATTAAAAATGTAACATTTTTAATAATGTCAATGCCCATAAAAGACTCATAGAAAACAAGGTAAAGAGGACTAATAAATTAGAGGACGTGAATATAAAAATTTAGTCATTCTTACAAAAATATACAAATAAAATATATTTAGAGAATTGAGCCAATTTTTTTCTCATAAAAATTCTGACATTAAATGATTTCAGATTCTTCCTAATTACATTTGCGGGAAATCAAACCAAAATAATCAACTAACTATTGTTTCACTTATATTTATATTTTATGTAAAAAGAAAAAATAAACAATTCAATTACAAACATTGTACATTAAATTATGGACTTAGTTTCATCATTCAATTTAGCTTTTCCAAATAATTGGAAACATTTAAGCACTGAAGTCTATTAAACAACCAAGAAATTACACACATTACTAATATTATAAACATAAATTTTGTGTGTGAAAGATAAACATAAATAATGTTGTTCTACTTATTATTATCAGTCAAATCAAACCAAATTTGCTTGAACACTTTGATAATAACTTGATGATACTCATCTGAATTCAAAGAAAGGTAACAAGCTAAAAGATCCTCCAAATCCTTTGATGTTCTAATGTTGTTCTCAACAATCATCTCCACCATTGATTCTCTGAAATCCCTCTGTGGATTCATCGATGACTTCACAATTGCGAAACTATCAGAAAGGCTTCTCCGGTTACCGTTCGACGACACGCTTTTCCGGCCATGTGTTTGAACTTTCTTGCTTGAAATTCTTGGTGAATTGATCCTAAGCTTCACAGCTGGTGAACTAACAGAAAATCTTCTACTTGGTGTGTTTGAGTTTGTGTACCTCTGTTCTTCCTTCAAAATCTTGACTTTTAGTGACCCTTTAACGTTGTGTTCGTCGTTTGATGAAGTTTTGCTTCTGGGTTTTGTTTCTTTCTTCTTTGCATAGTTGAGCAAGTAGCTGAAATTCTCTGGTTTGGTAACAATTGGTGGAAGTTTCATGAGCTCTGATAATGAATCATACCCTTTAAGCTTATCATCTTTTCTTGTTGCTACAAGAGAATTGTTGTCGACATCGATTATGATGTCATTTGTTGGTAGAAGAACACGGTCTGTTCTGATTTCTGGATCAGGTGATTCTGATTCTGCAGAACTATGTAGTGGAGAATCATGTGAAGATGATGATGATGAAGGTTTTGGTGTTCTTCTTTTTGGTCTTTGTTTTGGTGATGATTTTCTTGGTGGCTCGGGTGAGGAATTTGTGTTGTTTTGTAGTGGTGAAGTGTTGTAGATTCTGTTGTTTGTTTGCTTGAGCTCTCTTGTGAAGTAGTAGGATTTTCTTGGATTGATTTGGTAGGGTTGCTTTGATTTTGATGTTGATGATGATGAGTTTGTTGTGTTTGAGGTTGAAGATTGTTTTTTCTTCCTATGTTGTTGAGATGTTGGTGTTTGGTTTCTTGTTTTTCCCATGTCTCTTAGTTTGTAAAACCAAGCATTAGGCATCATATCAGACAATCTGAACCTGTAGTTTCCCATCACCTCTTCCTCACTAGTGTTTATGTTATGTTTGTCCCTCTCTCTCTCTCTCTCTATTGTCTCTTTTTGTGTGTATTTGTGAAGGTTGAAGAAATTGTGTGAATTCTAGTTTTCTATGTGATGAGTGAAGGATATGATCATGTTAACTCCATGAGTGTTTTGATTTGGCACTCTTTGATATGTGAGATAAAAAGAAATGGGAGAGAGAAGAGACTTTTTGAATAGGAGGAGGTAGGGTTTATTGGGTCCACAAAAGAAGAAAAAGGTTAGGAAAAAGAAAAAAAGAAATTAAGTAGGGTTGAGGTGGTTAATCACCCTATATTAGTTAATGACAAAATTACCTAATCCCAACAAATTTAAAAATAGTTTGGTGTAATTTGCCCTTGCGTGCAATTTAGGTAAGTCGTCTTGTGTCGAAGAGATTTATCGATAGAAATTAATCATTGTTAAATATCAATTGATATTTTTGAGTCATAATATATTTTGGAGTGGCAAATGATCATGCACGATCGTTTAAATTTGTTTCATCAAAAAACAGAACAAATCGAATAGAGAGACAACCTAAAAACCTTATCTAAACTCGTCAAAAAATCAGAACGGGGCGGATGGGTCATGCCACTTCTAAAATAAAAGTGACAAAAAAGAGAGTCATTTTTTACACTAGTTAAGACGTGTTCGCCATAACTCATAGTTAGACGGATTCTGCCACCCTTAAAATCAAGAGTGACAAAAAAAGAGTCACTTTCACACTAACTAGACTAGTGTCTGTCAAAATCTACAGTTAGACGAATCCTACTATCTTTAAAATTAAAAAGTGGAAAAAAAAATCATTTCCACACTGATTAGGCTCGCGTCATCCAAAACCTCCGGTTGGACAGATAAGGAGTCTTTGTTTATGTTTAGTACTAAAGAATTAGCACAAAAGTGGTTTAAAGTTGAAATACCCCTTGATGATATATTTGATTCTCTTACAAAACTTTAGTCCTTATGCAGCTTACTAAACAAGGTTTATTATATAAATGTAACCTAAAAGTAAGGCAACAATTAGTCCAAAATAGTGCATATGCCCTTTGCAATATTTGGAGTGTTTTCCTTGCTAGTGGTTGTGACATGAAAACAGACACCAACACTAACAAAGAAAAAAACCGAGTCAGATATACCAATTGGTAACATGTTCAGATGTAAAGTAAAAAGCAGCTCACTTTCACAAGTGGTATAGATACTATTTTCTTGAAAAACCATTGGATTATTATATTGAGCTACTAGCAATGACAATGTTATTATTTTGGTTAAAAACTTGTTGTGATGAGAAAGAGAAAAGGAACAACACACAGATAGAAGTTTTCAGAATTGGAAGCTTGTGATCACTTACATCTATTCAATTTTTGGAAATTTTTCAGGGGCCCTTTCTAATAGAAAGATTGTGTAAATTTGGATTACTCTACTTTTTTTTGTTATATTCTTTTTCTTATGATATGGTTTCTTTTTTCATGGTTATGGAAATTAGAACATGGGTTTGTTGTTGTATAGTGAAGGTGTCTTGGTTTGGCACTATCACTCTCTTGAAAAACTCTTGACGTATCATGTCTCTTTGGGGAATAAAAGGAATCAATTTTTTTTAACTAGATGAAATGGAATTTAGATTTGTTTTTGCAGAGGAATTGAGAAAATTTGTTGAATTTGTTTTTGGTATGCTTATAATAGTACATTTGTTAGTGCTTTGTTGATTAAAAAAAGTTATATTTTTAACCTAAAAAAAACTCTTTAAAAGATTTTAGGTATTGATGGGAAAATGGACGGTTCATGAAATTCCGTCACATTGTACTTTAAGTTTGAAAAGAAGCGGGACGAACAAATCTGTCAAATATAAATAAACATAAGAATCTAATCTATCCTGCCAAGATGTGGATTGACGCATGACGAATTTGTCCGTCAATTTTTTTATTTTTTATAATATTTTTTTATAAAACATCATTTTAAGTAATTCTCCTTAAAAAATTTTATATAATCACAAATAAATGTATAAAATAAAATCATCAAAAACTGAAATTACTATAATTAACTAAAAAATGACGCGCTTAAGGCGAGACAGACTTTGACGGGCGGTAGGTTTTGGCCAAGTGAGTTTTATAACGCCTGGATTGCTTTTAGGATTATCGACTTACCCTACGAATCAACACGGGTCTTTCAGAATGATTTGTCCTCACTCACACGCTTATCTGAGAAACTTTCCAGAAGGTCACTGTTGTTTTCGGATTTTAAAATATTTGTCACCGAAGAAATTACCAGGTTGAGTCGCGGACTAGGTCGATCTCTTTAAGACGTTTCGCGGCACTGCTCAAAATTATTCAAAGCAGTCAAACTATCGCGCCGCCTCCAGGATAAAATAGTCCAGTTCTATATTGTATGATTACTATTTGCATGATAGATAATCGGTCTAGAAATACACCATCTGATGATACAGGACCATTCAAATATGGTATCAACACCACTCGTAGTATCTGGTACAAAGACCAGTCATAATAATTTCTCAAACAAAAAGAAACTCAAATAATTCTCCAAAGAGAAATTAATAATGGTCATTTGACCACTCATAATAATTTCTCCAACAAAGAGAAATTCAAATAATTCTCCAAAGAGAATCCAAAAGATTAAACTTGAAAATTTCTCAACTCAAATGAGGAGAAATTAACATAATTCTCTAAAGAGAATTCAAGAAAATACTTGAAAAATTCAACGAGTAGAAAAAAAGGGGAAGAAGATGGCATTTCGACAATTCGAGAGACGCAGAGTTATGAGAGTGAAGAAGGAAAAATTAATAGAATAGTTTTTGGTGTAATTTGGAATGAAATATGTGCACTCCTTATATAGTGAAGTAAGATAGTTAATATTTCTCACATGAGCAATGTGGGACTAAATGGTTTTTTCAACCAAAAAGATATTTTAACAATGTGGGACTTGAGAAAAATTTTAAATTCAACATATTAGAACATGGACATGTTCCAACAGTCACACATTCCAAAATTGCTTCAAGCCAAACACGCTTAACTGTGGAGTTCTTATGGAACGAGCTACTGAAAAGAAGATGCATCTTGTTTTCGGTAGCCTAATCAATAAGAATTCTATAGTTAAGCGTGCTTAACTTGGAGTAGTATTGGGATGCGTGACATTTTGAGAAATTTTCTAGAAAGTGAGTGAGTTAGAAAAATCCGTATTGGTTTGTGAGGTCAGTCGGTAATTCTGAAAGCAGTATAAGGCATTATAAATTGTATCAGAGTCAGACCTCTCCTAGTACGATGTGGTTTGAGGACGAACCATATAGAAGTTGATGGACATGTAACACTCGAGGTTGGAGAGGGAGGAGAGTGGTTGCATCACATGTAACACCCGAGACCAAAGAGGACAAGGGTGGTCGCCACATCGGAATGAGAGGGATCCTGAGACTATGTAAAGAAGAGATTGCATGGTTGAAGAAATGCATATAGTGATTGATTGATACTATCTATACCAATAAGATACATCTTCTTTTCAGTAGTCTAGCCAATAAGAACTTCATAGTTAAGCGTGCTTGACTTGGAATAATATTGAGATGAGTGATTTTTTATGAAGTTTTTCAGAAAGCGTGTGAGTGATGACAAAATCATGCTGAAAAAACACGTGTTGGTTTGTAGGGTCAGTCAGTAATCATGAAAGTAGTTTAAAGCGTTACTGATTTTGACAGATGGTAGATTTTGACGGAACAGACTTTGATAGACAACAAATCTAAAATCCCAATTTAATTCGATATTTTTTGACAGATATATTGACTGATTCGCGCGGACCACAATCTATTTTGCCGCGTTTAATTTTAGGTGTATGATCAATAAATGAGAGGATTATAAAATATTTGTATTTTTTTGGTAATTAAACACAAATAAATTTCTACTCCATGTTAAAATTTCAAAATAGAAATAATAAATAATACAAGTGCTAAGTGTTTGATTTGATGGATGAGAATTAATATTGTTTAATGGAAAGTTCACTTATTTAGATCTTATGATGCAAATGTCAAATCTCTTTTGATTTTAGTTTTTTAGTAAATCAAATGTTTCTTAATTGTACTTTTTTAAAGCTTTCTATCAATGATCAATGTGTAGGAATATGGGTCGGAAGCTCTTAACCCTTTAAATGAATTTTAATTAGAGGAGGAATATGTTACTTTTTTATTAAAAGATTATTATTTTTTAAAAAAAAATGTATCGAGGAGATACCTTAAGTTTAAAAATTTTAATTGTAGAGTAAATTATATAAAAAAACATTTAAATACTTGTGAATTTTTTTTTATGAAAAAGTGACATGACATTTAATGAATAAATGATGGATAATTGAGTATCTAATTAAACTATAAGAATACTAAATTCACAACAAAAAATGAGTTCATTTTTCTAATTACCGTTACAATTATTAATGAATTATGTAAAAAAAGATAAATAAGTTTTTTTTTTAAAATCATTAATTTATAAGTATCACCAATTAATATACAATAATATTAAAATATAAATAAATATTATTAAAAAAAAAAACTCTAAACTAACATATTTCATCCATCGAATTCACCGCCGTATGGCTGACCGGCGATTACTAGCGATTCCGACTTCATGTAGGCGACTTCATATCACCAATTAATATATATTAATAAATTTGATAAAATACATAAAATATTATATTGATGATGTATATATGCTCAAATTTCAATTAATATAATTAGTTATACTCTAATAAATATTAATATTTATTTTAGTACACTAAAATAGTTTTATATTAACCAAACACTTAGACTTGAGTAATAAATAAATTTCTGTTAAGAAATAAAAATTTGAAAAATAATGAGTTCGATTTCTAATGAAAATAATATGTAACAAGTGTTATAATTTCTCATAATAGAGTTTCATTTTCTTGAAAATCAAAGTTCAAAAGAAAAAAATTAATAATTTTATATTATTTAAAAATTGAAGTTAAAA